ACTCCTGAACCGTCAGCTTGCAGCATGGCTGCAGTTCCGTGGAAGGAATTGATCACAAGCCCCTCAGGTGAGCAGAAACATAAAACACCTAGCAGCTCCCTCCATATGTCTTTCTCCTGTGGACAGAACCAATCTGAACTTGCAGAGAATTCGGAGTGGACACTAAGGAGAATCTTCTGACAGTAAAAATGTGAAATACTGGAGTCAGGGAAGGAAGAAGTGGCATTTCCCCGCAGGGCCTCTTAACACCCCCCCCCCCGAAATTCCTTAACAATTGGGTGACCTTTTGTTTGTTTGTGTGATTTTGGGGGGGTCAGGAGTGGGGTCCTCTTTCTTTTTCTATTGAAGCAGGGAAGGCCGCATGAGTAAAAATCAAACAAATAAGAGTGGGGAAAGGCTAGGGGAGGGACATACAAAGTGCTTCACTTGTGCTCTTTAGGAATTGAAAACCAGGAGCAATTCAACACATTCAACAAACTACTAAAAATAGCTTTAGCTCCATGATGTGGGCAGGCTGGATATGGGTTTAGAGGAGCACAGAGAAAAAAAGAATAATAAAAAAGTAATAAAAGTAACATAAAATTAAAAAGAAAAGCAGGTAAAGAGGGGCCCTGATACCGGCAGGCTTTCATGGACTATTATTTGCCCCCTAGTGGCCTTCAGGGATATTGCACCAAGCCAATGACAATCCAACCTTCAATTCTCACATCTGTATAAACAAACCGGGTGTCACCACTTGGGCAATATCCCATGGGATGGGTAAAACTATATCAAGAGTAGAATATTGCGCGAAGTCTAGTAGCTGTCCCCTTGCTATCGGACCCATGGAGCAGCATAGGAATGAGGAGTGGGAAGTAGGACGTTTGAGTTTGGGCTCCAGTGTTATCTATATCCTTGAACAGGCTACTTAGCTCGTCTTTGCCTCTATTTTCCACTAATAATCATGAAAGAACATTATTATTCCAACTCATATTCCTGTAAAGAAGCTGCCTAGTTTGCAAGGGAAAAAATAGCAGTTCATAAGAAAGATCAGTGTACTATCTCAACCTTCCAAGCGAACTTCACGTCCATTGCAGAGGGGCTCTGAGAGTGTGAGTGCGCCCAGGCCTCAGACATTCAGGCTTCCCAAGAAGGAGGCATGGTGCTGGCGCCTCCCCTCCAAGAAACTTTCCAAAGCAACTCTCTAGCCAGACCATCGTCCATCCCCAAAGGCCTTCCTGTTGGGCTACTTGTTCTGGTCCAGAGAAGGCTCCACTCATCAGCAAGAGCCATCTTAAACACACCTGAAAACACACCCTTCCAGTGTGAATCCATTCAGGGGCTGCCTGCTGCTCTCAGAACAAAATCCAACCCTCTTTTCATGACCTGCAGGACCCTGAAATAATCTGTCCTACCTGCCTCTCCAGTCTCATCTTGTGTCTCTCTCCTCCCCTCACACCAGCCTGCAGCCACACAGGCCTTCTTCCAGGTCCTCAAACACACCCAGCTCTTTCCTGCCCGGCTCAGTGTGCTCTCTGCCTCTGGTTCAGAATCCTCCGCCCTCTGGCATGTGCTTGGCCGCCGCCTCCCCATTCAGGCCTCAGCTTCAGTGATTCCCCTTAAAGAGGCCATTCCTGACCACTGTGAACAGTTCCCTCTTTAGTCTCCATCTGGACCCTCTATTTAGGTCTTTTAAGCATTTATCATTTAGTGTATTCATTTATTTATTTTTTGGTCTGGCTCCCCAACTAGACTGTAAGCTTTTTGAAGAAAGGGTAACATCTCTGGGTTCTTACTTATTGTTGCAACCCCAGTGCCTTTGCACAGTATGTGGCCCATAGTGCATCCTTGAATTCTTGTTAAATGAATACATGCATGAATGGATGAATAGAGTAGAATTTGATATATTGGAGGAACAGAAAAAAGTGAAACTTTACAGGTCTAAGAAATCAGGAGCAGGGTGTCAGGGGGATGTTTTTGGCAAAGGATGTACAAGCTGCCTTAGCAGAAAATGTGCCAGATTTGGGAGAGAGGCTTGTAAAGTAATCACAGCCAGCAACACCACACAGTTGGAGAAACTAAGACGCTTAATAAGGAGAAACCTTACTTCAAATTATGGGATGGACCGTGTAGAAATAATACTGGAGTTTCTGTCTTTATAATACATTTAGAGTTTGGGGGCAGGGGAGGAGGGGTAGGGGAGGCAGGTGAGAGGAGGGAGAAAAACGGAACTGTCAGACTCAAAGCTATTAAGTCCATCAGAACGGAACAACCGCTCAGGAAGGTGAATTTCTTGGCTTATAAACCTCCTTATTGCTCCTCTGTGCTTTGGATATGCAAATGCCTTTGCCTATTGACAGCACCGGAGGAGGGAACAGCCTCCTAATCCACCCAAAGTCTTGCATCTGCTCCAGGATCTATCACAGTGCTCTAGGTGTAATTAGCCTGAGTCATGACATGCCCTTGAGGGGACTGTCAAATCTCCCTCTCCAAAGGCCTGTCAAGCCCTCTCTAGGGATCAGAAATGAGAAGAGGGAAGCCTCGAGTCTACATCACTAGCACATGAGCTCCAGTGAAAAGGACTTATGTCTGGTGTTGGTGCCCAGATATACCATCAGGCAAGGGCAGCCCTGTAACAACTATTTGTATAGTCAGTTAGTGTCTAGGAAGAGCCGACACTGGGACTGAGGTTCTTTGTTTCAGCCTGGCCTCCTCCTGGTCTGCGACATCGGGCACTGCTGACTTCTCTAGGTTTTTATAACACACAAAAGTGCTATATGGACTAGCAGCTGATCTGGCCTCTATTGCCTCACCTATGAAACCAGATAGGCTCTAAAGTCTCTCCTAGTTTTAAAATTTGATGTATCAGTATATCTGTGATTCATGCATCTTTCCATGTATATTTGTTTGCTGCTCAACTAAGTCCTGAGCCACTGGTAACAGGAGTGAACTCTTTTTATGACTGTCAAATAAAATATAGAACACCCAGTTAAATTTGAATTTCAGAGAAACAACAAGTTCTTTTTTAGTATAAGCATGTGCCGTGTAGTATTTGGGACATTTGCAAAATCTGACAATTTGAGCTGTTTGTCATCTGTCCTCCAAACTCTGTAACCTTTGGGAGGGACAGAAACTGGATCTTCGTCATCTCTGGAATCCCTTACAAATGATGCTATTGACAAAGCGGAGGTGAATATTGAGTGCTCCCTGATTAGTTTACTCTCTGAAGATGATTTTTTATTTATTTATTTTTTTTTACTGAATTCTTTTTTTAATTTCCCATTCTTGGAATTTTAGAAAGTTAGAGCTGGAAAGGGAATCATGTCTTCTGAGAAGTTCAATTTCAGATTTGGAGTCCAGCTGGGATTTGGGGAATAAGATCCATGAATCTATAGGAATTCTAGGATCCAAGGTCTACTCGTCCATATGCCCTCTTAGCATATATCAAAGGGCAGTATGTATATCATTTTACAGATGAGACGACGGAGCATAGCTGAGTTAAGTGACTGCCATATGTATCAGTGGCAGGCATGGGTGAAGTGCACAGCACCAGCTCTCTTAGCAAATTAACTGACTCTGTGGGAGACAGGAAGGGCAGGGAGAGGTGTTCATCCGTTTCTGTTCACATTATATAGTAGGGAGTGGGGGCTGGCTGTAGAGAAATGAAAAGATCTATTTACCTCAAATAATAGCGACATCCCTCTCCCATCTGTTCTGAGATTTCACAGTTCACTAAGCACTCCTCCCATATTATTGCTTTGATCCTTACCACAAGGACATTTAGCGAGATGGTATTGTTTTCTATTTTACTTTACAGGTGAGAAAATGGAATAACAGTCACTCTGTTTATGTGGCCAATAAAAGGAGTAGAGCTGAGATTTGAATGCTTTCTAATACTAAGTGTCACTCAAATCTGGTAAGACAGGCCAATGTCTTTGTCATTTTAAAAAGCTGATTTACTGTTTCAAAATTCACACAAAGTATATCTGATTATTTTAAGAAAATTCAAAGAATTCAGAAAAATATAGATTAAAATGCAGAAGAATATATATCTCATCCTACTCTTTGTCCTGAAATTTGGTGGGTTTTTAAATTTCCTTTTTCTATGAGTTTATACACATTTATAGGTACAATTTTTTTTTTAATGGATCAAACTATATACATTGCTTTGCTTTGATTTTTCTTGACAATATGTCTTGGCCATTTTCCAAAATTCTTAAGTAGAGATCTACCTCTTTGTTTTAAGATGAGCGATGTTTGAAAACAGAATAGCAACATTCATGTGCATACTGGTGATAGGAGAATATTATATTTACCACCAATGTGTAAAGTGTAGTTGATTGTGTAAGGGGAAGGGTGCTGGTGCTCAGAAATGCAGTAAACTGACTCTGATAATGTCAGCTGATTAATTTCCCCTCAAAAGCAGGGTTTCAGAATCAGAATCACAAATCGCGTAACAAGCCCTTGAAAAAGTCATCGAATAGCTGTCTCAGTTTTCCCATCTGTAAAATGGGGATACGAATAATATGTGTTCCACAAAGTTATGGTGAGGATTAAGTAATTCACATTAAATAATTCCCATTGTGGCTCAGCACAATGCATCATGATGACGACAATGATGACGATAAGGACAACGAAGATGATGCTAACTCTCCTTCGGTCTGGCAATGATGGATAGGTGGGGCTTAACTTGCAAGGTTGTCAACGCCAGAAAGAATGCCCCAGGGGACACTTTTTATTAAGAGCTACCAAAGGGTCCCGTCTAGAATGCCCTCTGGAGACAGTCCTGACAGCGAGACTCCAGCTTTGGAAACTTCAAGGTCACAGGTTTTCAGTGCTCCGGTGCTTGGTTTAACCTTTGGGAGAGCCGAGGACTACAATTCCCAGGGTGCACCACTCCAGCCCGCCTCGCCCACCACGTTGCGTCTCTCCTCATTCTCGCCAGGCTCCCAACCCAGACTACAAATCCCAGAAGACCCTGCAGCACCGCTCTGGTTTCCGGGTGCGTCGCTCCCACTTTTTGAAGCTAAACTGTGCCGGTTAACGGTGTTCGCTGGGAAGTGTACTCAGCCCCCTCGCCTTTCAGGCCCAGGCGCTGCGATGAGGCGGACGGGCTGGCAGCGCGCGAATGCCGGCTGCTGACTGCTCGCTCGGAAGCGGAACTGGCTCCCGAGGACTCTCCCGGGCTCGGGTCCAGGCCTTGCGGGCCGGGAAGGTAAACGGGAGAGGGAGGCGGAGGCGGACGCGACCACGCGCGGGCCTGGAGCGGGGAGCAGGCGGGGAGGGCGAATTCCAGCGGAGGTAGTAGGGGTGGAGGTGCAGCGTGGCAACCGGCCGGCGTGAGGCGCGCCCCCAAAATTGGAGTTTTAGGATGACCCAGCAGGGAGGGGAAGAGGGGCGTCCGTGTGGTGCGAGGGCTTCAGGGCGCGGGGCTCATTCGTGGGACTGCACCCCATGGCCCGGCCAGCCCTGGCCCCTGGAGGCAGTCGGCGCCCAGGCCCTGGCCGTGGAGAGTCCGGGGTGCGGGGAGCCCTAGCTGGAAAGTTAGGCCGGCGTGTTGGAAAGTTACCAGGGAACCTGAGGGCTTCAGCTGCGTCCCCGGAACAAAGCCTCTCCCCCCGGCGGGTGGAGGTGGGAGGCCTGTGGGATAGATGCTGTTTGGGGTTCTGGCTAAAGGGAATCCCAGCGGCAAGGAAACCTTTGAACCCCCAGAGACCTAAACAGTGCTGAGAGAGTGCCCCCCATGGCATTATGAGCATTACGTGCCATTACATCGGGCGGGGGCTATTTCGTCTGAACCAATCCAGAGAAATTGGTGTCCAGCTCCCTGGTTCTAGAATATTGTAAAAGTGGCTCAGCTCATAGAAAAATGATTTGAGTAAGTCCATTTAAAAAAATAATCAAGGTACAAAATGGAGTGTATATAATGATCCTACTTTGTAATAAATACATATGTTTCCCAAGTATGTGACATGTGTCTGGCTATGGCTTCTGTACTGTACTCTAAAGTATGAACAGTGGTTATTGATGGATGGTGAGATTACAGATTAATTTTACTCTTTACATCTTTATGTAGAATTTGAATTTGTACAATGAGCATGCATTACTTTTTCCCCCCTTTGTTTTTCCAAAAGAGCCACTGGGTTACTCTGAGGGGGTGCGTTTTGGTAGGCGGGTGCTGAGGCCAGCTGCTCTGTGGCTTGCGTCTGGCCACCTGCAGGTTGATTTGCCAAGAACGATGAGAGGGTTGAATTCAAGGGGTGAATTTAATGGGCAGTCTATGTGACGCTGATGCTTTTTTCCTTCTTCCAGGTTGGAAAGGGTCTGTGTTAGCAAGTGTCACACCATGGTATGTGGTTTTGATCTATGTCAGTCTAATCCATTATGCTCTCTAGTTTGGAGAGTTCTCATTACCTGGTGGATTTGGCTTGCACTGCATACCTTCCTTGGGATCTGATAACTCAGTTGGCTTGGGGATGAGAGGAAGAAAACTATTGTAGCTGAGGTGCCTCTTCAGCTTTGGATTTGATCTTGCTTTTTGTTCTTTTGTCAGGGTCATTGTTCTAGCCTATGCTACTTAGTATTCCTGTGTGTGTGTTTTTTTTTTAATTATAAAAGAAACTTTAATATATCCTTTGTTGTGTTCCTTGTGCATTTCCTGGGACAAAAGCTTGTTAAAATTAAGGTGGGCATGTGATAAATAAATATATTTCATGTTTATTTTAATTTTTTTTTTCTTTCTCAGCTTTTGCCACGTTTCTGATTAAAGTTTGACGTTCCTGCATAGGCATTTTCCTGTTAAAATGTCCTTGCCCCTTACAGAGGAGCAGAGGAAAAAGATCGAAGAGAATCGACAAAAGGCTCTGGCTCGTAGAGCCAAGAAATTATTAGCAGAACAGCATCAGAGCTCAGGCTTGGGCTCCTCTGTTGCTGCCCTTCCTTCCCAATCCAAGCAGCATCCTTCTCACAATCTCCCCAGCGATTCTGCTAAGCCAGTGGACCATGGTGTCGTTTTCAAGCAACAGAAAGCCAGTAGTTCATCTCATGGTGACCGAATACCTCAAAATCCCCACAATTTTCATCTCAGCACTCTGGAGCAGGCAAAGGAGACATGGAAGAAGCCAGAAGAGATGCGTGCAGCCTGCCCACACCACACCCCACCAAGTCACATTACTCTCACTGGGATCTCCCCTCCCTTGGCACAGAGCCCTTCAGAGGTTTCCAACCAGCAGCTCATGGGTTATGAGTTAGGTCCAGGTCATCCTCAGGTTTCACACGGGACCAAATCAACACCTTTTCCTAACACAACTCATGAACCTTTGGCCAAATCAAAGAGTTCCCAGGATACACCAGCTTCTTCCTCTGGACAGCTTCCCAGGGATCCTGAATCAGAGGCCAAGGCAGCCAGACCCACCACCTCAGTGCAGAACATTTCTGGCATCCATTGTGGCTCAGGGAGTGTGATTCCCAGGACAGAAGGGAGACTCCCACAGAAATTGGGGGCCTCACCCCACAAAGCATTAAGCTCCCAGGAGGGAACATGTGTAAGGGATGGAGACCGTTTCCAGGTGAAGATTGGGTACAACGCAGAGCTCATTGCCGTGTTCAAGCGTCTGCCCAGCAGACGTTTCGGTAATGAGTCTTCATTCAGTCTAGTTCTTCAGATGTTTTGTGTGTTTTTTCTATTTCTACAGTCTCTTTTAATCTAGCAGTTTCTCATAAATATGAAGAGGGTGCATTGGCACATTCTGTCTAACCAGTTGTTAAAATTTCTCTATTTTAGCCCATGTTTTCTTTTGTTATAGACTTTCCTTCAAACAGCTGCCAAAATTGGGGGCTGCCACATGGCCATATGGAGAATGGGTGAATGTTTACTGAGAGGCCAGCTCCTCTGCCAGGTGCTTTGTAGGCACTGTAGCATTTAAGCCTGACAATTTTTTGAGATAGCTTAGATGTTATTTTAAAGGCAGTGGAACTGGCTCAGCAAGATGAAGTAACATGTTCAGGTTGGTTTGTCTAAAGGGCAGAGCCAGGACATGGCTAGGATGTGGCTAGGCTATGGCTAGCTCTGCCCTGCCTCAGTGCCCACTCCTTCTTGTACATGAGCTTTGTGGGATTACACAGGGTCCCACCTCTGCCCTCAGCCCCTGCTGAGGTAAGGCCTATAACATCCCAGAGCCTGTCTTGAATTTCTCGACATGGGATAAAGAGCATTACCCTTATTTATATTTGCTATTTGTCCTCTACAAGGAATTTGTAAATCAGTGGGGGTTTGTTCAGCCAACTGTTTTGAATTTAGAATTCATTCATTTGTGTTTCATTGCAGATCCTGACACCAAGACATGGAACTTCAGCATGACCGACTACAGTGCCCTGAGTAAGTAGGTGTGTCTTCACCCCTCACGTAGGAAATACTGGTATCAAAGATTCTCTGGAGTAGCAGATGTGGTCTGCTGGTTTGGATGGCTTTGAGGGCACCATCCCAGTGCTCTTCTTCCTTCTCACTATGGCCAACCTAGTGAGGCAGCTCCATGGGTGATAGTCACTGGTAATGTTAACAAAAGCTAGCATTAAATGGAGCCTGCTATGTTCCAGGCTGTTCTAAGCCCCCTTACATATGCTAACTCATTCCTTATAGGAACCATTTTACAGATGGGAAAACTGAGGCCCATAAAGGGTATGTAACTAAATAGGGTCACGCAGCCAATAAGTTATGCAAATCGGGTTCAAACCCAGACAGTCTGATTTCAGGGTGCCTATTCCCACTGGATTGCTCGCTTCAGCCATGGCAGGCAGCCAGGCCAGCCCCTGCTCCCAGGATAGTTTACAGTTCAGCAAACAACGTAAATCCTCACAGCACTCTTTGTGCGGCTATGTAACTAGAGAGTGCAGGGAGGGGCATTGCCCAGGCAGACTCCAGTCAAGGCCAGGCTTGGGGAGGCCAGGACAGTTGTTGGGACCCTTGGGTCCATGCACTGCTTCTGAGATTTTGTTGACTAAACCTACTCCAAGGTTTTTGTCACCTCCTGGTGCCTGAAATCTGCTCCTCTGCCCTGGGTGTTCTCACGTCTCCCAGCAGCCATTTCTGTCCCCTCTCTTTCCTCCCTTCCCCCCACTTGAAAAGGGAAACGATGAGGATGCATGGTGAGGTTGCTTCTCCGCAGATTTGGGGCATGGGTAGAATTCTCTGGAATCATAAGTTTCTGGGGGGTGATGACTCAGCTCCCTGCAGAAGTTCTTGTTTCTCTCCTTGGCCTCCCCCTCTTGAAATGTGTGACATTAGGTGATATCTTATTCTTTGGTAGCTGCCGGTGACCTTTTGGGGGGGACTCATTTTTACTGTTATTTTAATCCATTTATTAGGTGTTGGGAGGGGGAGGACCAGTGCCCTAAGTTAAGATTGCAGGACTTGACATCTAGTGTTTTCATGGTTGCTTGGAGGAAGCCAGTGGTTTCCACTGTCATGATTTTGTTTGTTTTATTGTCTTTTTACCCCTGTTCTCCGACCACAATGCATGGGGACCTGAATGACTTCTGTGTTTGCAGATTCATTAGTTTTTCTGTGTGGTGTCGTTGCTTTTGGTAATGCTCCACAAATTTGAAAACCATTTAATGGGTACAAAAATCTATTCATAGCTTTTAGATGAATTTTACTGATTATGAGTTGTTTAGCCCCTTTGTGTCCTTACCAGTGTTTTGCACAATTAATCTGCTGTCTACCGAGATATGCCTTGAACACTCTTGCAACAGCTGTGGATTTGTGCATTTATCTTATTATTTTTAAAATATATCTTTATTGATTTCAGAGAGAGGAAAGGAGAGGGAGAGAGAGAGATAGAAACATCAATGATGAGAGAGTCATTGATCGAGCCCACAACCTGGGCATGTGCCCTGACCGGGAATAGAACCCCTGTCGCCTGGATCCCAGGTCCACGCTCAACCGCTGAGCCACGCCTGGCCGGGCTATCTTATTTTTAAATTTTTAGATAGGTTCATGATTGTTGCTAGTAGATTATACTTATCATCGGTATAACCTATAAAGGCTGTCTCTGCCAGTCTTTCTGTCATTTTGCTTTGGGTATACCTCTGGATTTTGCCTTTTTAATTTTTAACCCTACTACACACTCACCATAGAACATGTGGAAAGTATATCAGCATGCAAAGAAGAAACACTATCCCCATAAATTCCCCACTCAGTTAACCACTCGTAACATTTTGGTTTTGTACCTTCCAGCCTTTTTTCTGTGCATTAAAATATAAATTTTTATATATGTAATGTAATTTTTATCTTGTGGTTTTCACTTAGTGTTCCAGCATAGCATTTTTATTTTCATGGTGAACATTAATGCTGAGCGATGAAAATTATTGGAACACTTTGACCTCCAAAAAAAATTTCATACTGTTGAATACAACTTTTTTTGATATTTTTGTCTTTTCCAGAATTTCTTCCAAAAATAATTATTGATTATATGATATATTTCATTGTATGAGTGTGTCATAAATTGCTTAAATCATTTTCTTTTTGTCTGTTTTAATTTGCTCCCAGGTGGGTTTTTTGGTTTTTTTCAGTATTAAAACTTTAAGAAACACCTTTATCCCTAAATTTTTATGTTTTCAATTGTTAGTTGGAGGAGATTCCTAGAAGTTGGATCATTATGATCATTTCTTAGGGCTCTTGCTGTATATCACCACATTGTTTTTCAGAAGGTTTTATTCCCAGTTGTCAATGCAGATATCTGTTTTTTATAAATAAAAAAATCGCTTTTTATTTCTGATTATTTGTGAAGTTGAATATTTTTCCAAATGTTTATTAGCCATTTCCCCCCCTCTTTTCAATTGATTATGTCTCTTGTGGTTTTGGTCTTTTCATAAAGTGTGAGCTCTGTTTGCCTTTTTTTGCATTTATCTGTACTCAGTAGTTTTGCCTTTCAGTTTGGTTTGTGTTTTTTGACAGTTTAGTTTTATGCAGTCAGATCTATTAACCTATACAGTACATCAGTAACAGATAAAGTGAGGTTCAAAACTGTGCTCCTGTAGCCTGATGGGCCTTTGTCTCTCTCCCTGGTTCTGCAGGCAGAGTAGGGGCCTGGAATGGGGTCAAGTGGACAATTTCTGGTGTGTTGACTTCAGCAACAGAAATTATCTAATAAACTTGCTCATTCTGATGAAATCCCTCTTCCCCCTGTAAATTTCTGACTTCTAAGTGTTTTAATTTGAAAACATAAGGAACAGAAGAGTTACGTTCAATAAATACTGAAATTTCCAAAGCCTCAATTAAAGCCCGCTTGCCAAGCTTCCCAGTCCAGCAGTGCCTTTTCTTGCCTACCTGCCACGTGCCGTTCCCTTAGACCCTGTCCCTGCCCTCCTCCCTTGCCTGCCTGAGTGCCCCATGGCCATGTGAAAGTCATCCACTTTGTCACTCCTGTTCTCTTCTTCTTCGGCAGTGAAAGCAGCTCAACATCTCTCCACAGTCACCCTGAAGCCTTTGGAAAGGACCAGCGGTGTGGTGCAGACTGGCCTGCCTTCAGCTCCCTCCCTCTCCTTTGTCAAAGGGCAGTGCATGCTCATCTCCCGGGCCCGCTTTGAGGCAGACATCGGCTATTCACAAGAGCTCATTGCATTGTTTAAACAGATGGATTCCAGAAATTATGGCAAGTAACTGACCTCTGCCTGATTCCCAGGGTGGGTAGTGGTCTGTGGTCTCAGAGTAGGGTGGTTTTCTCTCTGTTTGAACACTCAAAAATGACTTTCTTGGTAGAGCCTTCCTGATCTGCTCCTCTTATCATAGAAAGTTGAGGGATAAATTGTTCAGATAGTAAACACATAGGGGGCCCATTTTGTCCTCAAAGGCCTCCCAAAGAGAAGACCCCACAATTTTCCCCAGTTATCTTGTCAGTGTTTTCTTGGTAGAAGCAGAAAAATTCCTGCTTTAGCCATTTAAACCTACCTGTTTATATTTTGTCCTTAGAAGAGCTTGAAAAACAGATGGTTGCCAAGAAATAAATGCCTTTCTGTAGACTAGGACAGTAGTTCTCAAACTTGAGCATGCATAGAACCACCTGGAGGGCTTGGTAAACACAGACTGTTGGGCCCTGCCCCAGAGTAAATGCTGATGCCTGCTTCCCACCCAGAGATGTTGAATTCATTGGGTTGAGGTGGGGACTGGGCATTGGTAGTTTAAAAAATCTCTGTGGGAGTCTAATGATCAGCCAGGATTGACAACCACTAGCCACAGCCGTGCAATTTTGCTTTACTTTTTGCGAGGTCCTTCAAAAGCTACCCTGTTGGAATATGGGGCAGAAGTCAGCTCCAGAATTCTGAACTCCTAGGTTTCATTCTTAGCTTGGGCCATGTTTTATAAAATGGTGTGGCTTTTATAGATTGATATTCCCATTTTTGAAATTGTTTTAGCCTTCCCCTAGGCAAGTAGAAAATAAGCTCTTAAAACCTCTTGCTTTTGAGACAACTGGTTCCTGGAAGAAGCCTCTGCAGCATCTCTGACCACTGCATTGAGCTTTCATCAGGGCCTGAGGCTCCGTAAGGTGGGTGGTGCTGGCTATTGCATTATTAACCCTTAGGCAGATAGTTTTAACTGGTGAGAGCGGCCGGTGAACAGTGTTTAGATGCAAGGTGCTGGGCCCAGCCTGAGCCATGGGACGAGCTTCTCACACAGGGGCCAGGGTTCTTTGCCTCTCCAGCCCCATTAAGATGTTTGGCTTCAGTTTGGGGTGACCCTTAATAGGCAAGTACAGATGACCTGTGTCTTCTGAAAAGTATAACTTTGAAATTACTCACCTCACATAGTCTCCTGTTCTGGGAATGTGAACAGCTAAAATATTGGCCCTCAGCCCTGCCCACACCCAGACATCCAAAACCCACTGTTAGATGTTTCGCCTTAGCTCCTGTTCACATACTTTCCCCTTTGCTGCTCAGCCGCTGCCAGGGTCAGGCTGTGGTTAGGAAGGTCTCCTGTGCTGTTCCCACAGGAAGAGTAGTCTTTCAGCTTTGGGGCTTTGTCAGATTACACCTAGGCTGCCTTGCTGTCTCCCTGAACCTGACTCACTGTGTCCAGAATGCTCTTCCCCTGACCATCTTGCTCTCTCGGTGGCCGTGAAGAGAATTAGCTTCTGCTGTCAGAAAGCATTTACAAGTTGAAGCTTTCTTGATTTTCTCAAGGCAGATTGGTAGGGAAACTTCTCTTAAGTACTTAGCCAACACTGGGTAGTGAGAGGCTCACCCTTCTTAGTTAATATTGTGTGTAGTTTATGCTGCACGATGCTAATCAGCAGATGACATCATAATAATAACAGTAATCATAACTTATCATTGCTTTTTGGTTTTTGAGTACTCATTGTTTGCCAGGCGCACTTTAATAAGTATTTTACATTTAAATTTAAGGTAATTGTCACGAGAACCCTGTGAGGCGGGGGTTGTAGTATCCTCATTTTTCAGGTGTGAGAACTGAGGCACAGAGAAGTTATGTGACTTGCCCAAGGTCACACAGCTGGGAAGAGGCAAAAATGGGATTTGCTTGTAGGCTGTGTGATCACTCCAACCATGCACAGCTTATTTCTCCTGTATAAAATGGAGCTAAAAATATTGCCCAGCTTAGAGCATAGTGAATCCCTTGGCACCACGCCCAGCTCAAAATAAGCACCGAATAAGTGAGAGCTACAATTATTTTCCCCTGTCCTGGAAATTCAGGGCACTTCTGACCTGCCAGGCCATCCCCAGTCACGTGTCCCTAGAGCATGGTTTATCCCCACCCTTACAACCCAGTATTGTTGTCATGACTGTTTGTCCTTCTTCCCTGAATTCTGTGAAAGCCTCACACGCAGTACTCTCAATTTCTGTATCCCCCGTACCAGGCACCAGACTGGCTGCCACACCATGCGAGCTCCCTGGAGGTTTATGAAGCCAGAGACTGAGTGAGGGTGAGGGCACAGCAGAAGGCAGGCTGTCATGTTTGCTCATGTGTTTCTTCTCATTGCAGATGCCAAGACCAGGAAGTGGAACTTTCTCTTGGAAGAGCACAATAAACTAAGTGAGATGCCCACCTTGTTTTATGTCATACTGTTGTTAAGCTTCAATTATCTGCTTTAAATTTGGTGTATTTTAAAAGATTCTCCTCCTTCCATCGTGATGACTTCACGTGCTGTGTACAGGACAAGTAAAGGTGGAGATGTTCTCAGGCAGCCCCATCCCCATCTGCTAAGATGGTGGCTTTACGACAGCCCAATGAACACGGGGCCTCTGCTTCCATCAGGGGGAGGCGGTTCTAGACAGATTCCTGGGGCCAGGAACCCTCCCGCCCATCATAGAAGAATGGGGATCAGAGGTGAGCCAGGATTGCTTAGCTTAGATGGAAGCTGCTTTTACTGCTTTTACACTCCTTCTGAGGACAGGCTCTCAGATTGCTTCTAGGACCAGATGATTAATGAAGGTTGGAGAGTCTCTGCGGTACCGGGCTTCAGAGTGGGCTGAGTTCTGCCAGAGGCACAAGCCTAGGCCAGGGTGCATAGCATTTCATGAGCACTTTGGAGCCAGACCAAGGAAAGGGATATTTGTACAGATATAACTACAAGAAGGAGAAGCCAGCTTAGACTTACTATTTTCTTCTCTGCCCTGCTTGAGTAGGACAATAAATCCTAATATGCCTGAGAAAGTGAACATGGTTTAGTCTCAGCCTGTCCTGAATGTCAGTCTGTCACCTGTCTTCCAAGCTGTCACAGTTCTGCAGCAGGTGTGGTGCTGGCATAACTTCCTCCTGCTGGACCCTGATGACTTGTGGGGCCTCCCAGCCAGTGTTCTCACCGGTTAGGCCAGGAGAGGCATGGCCTAGCCTGGAAGCTCTGAGACATTGGCCATCTTGTCCACCAGGCTGGGCTTCAAGGTAGAGGGAAAAGCTGGGTGTCTTCCCTTTGTCTCCTTCTGTGACTTACTATGGAACATCAGGTAGATAATTCAACATTCTGGGACCCATTTGCCCTTTTAGTAAAAAAAAAAAAAAAAAAGGGCGGGAGTCTTTAATCATATCTGTCTGCCCTACTGCCAGAAATTAAATACAAGGGAAGGGCTTTTGATTCCTTGAGGAAAGACTTGTTACAAACTCAAGGTTAAGTTTGAATATGATGAGATACTTAGTATCAGCATACAGTAGCTGAAGCAGAAAGGATCTGAGACCCCATGGCTGCTGCTATTTGGAACTTATGATTCAGAGCAAACTCTTTGGCCAAAGCTGAATTTTTGGTGAGCAGTACGAGTGAGTTTTCCCCTCTCATCCCTTTGTTTTCAACCACAGAAAGATAAATATGTTAGCTTTAGAGGCTTGACTTTCATGGAATGACTAAAAAGCAGGATACTTACAGCATCAGCAGGTGAATGTAATGTTGAAAACCATGACTTGTGACTCACAGCATTATATATAATGATTCCAGGTCTTTAGTGGGCCACATACTCTTTGGAATATCTGATGAAAAGGATGATTCTTCATCCAGAAAAATGCACATAATGGCCACACATAAAGTTTGCGTTTGTTATTGATAATTCCGTGGATCTGGAGTTAAGAATTCTAGATTCAGAGTTCAGATGGCTTTTTTCCATGCTGTCTTGTCATTCCAGTGTCCTGTGGAAGCTAAGACTGGTTCTTCCCATTTCATAGACTGGGAAAAGCTTAGACCCAGAGAGGAAATGGTTTTCCTTATTGGGAGCATTGCACTGATGTCCTATTGTAGTCATGTTGAACTCAGACTCAGACTCAAATTGCAATCTTGAGTTTGTAGCATGAATCATCTGGAAATATAGAAGCCATACCTGTGAACCAAGAGGCCGAGGAGACAAGCCCTGCAGAAAGAATGTCACGGGCCCCAGCTGAGGCCTGGTTCCCGCAGGCCTGGTTCCTGCTGTCTAGCACTCTTTCTCATCCTAGGGCTGGTTCCTTGTGTTCAACGTTAGATTATTGACACTGAACCAGTGAACTTGTGCATGTGAAACTAACTGAAAATGACAGTAAGACCTTCTGAGTATATGAATGCTTGTTGATGACGTGGTGATAATTATTTTCTCCAGATTAGGTGACTTGAAGAGCTTTTCTGTTTCTTTTCTAAGTGACTTAAGGCCTTTTGCCCACAGTGAAATTGGCATCAGGCCTTATGTTTTCCCCTGACTATCACAGTCCAGAAGGATTCTGCATCCCCCTCAGTGCTCCTGTCTTGTCAGCTGCTATTTGAAAACATTCACATCTCTCTGCTAGGTGGCTCAATAGTGGTCTACCAAAAAGATGTTTCATGGAAATGACTTCTAGATGACTCATGAAGCCAGATGGCACAATCCTGTTTCTCCCAGCACAGGGACGGGACAACAGCCACAGTCGTTGACTCAATGGGGACTTTCTCAGAAACACACCCAGTTGGTTGAACTGGCAGCATAGGGTTTTGGATACAGTAGTTGGTGGGAAACAGAGTAGAGGCTGGTTTTTTCCTCTCCAGGGGCCGGAAGAACATGAAGTTTACAGAACGCCGCATTTCACACTGGCTGGATTGTTAGCCATGTCTTCGTTTCGTCAGGTATTTGAGTTCTGAAGATCACTAGGATTAAATGAAAATGATTTCTGAAAGCCCATGGAGTGCTCAGTCTCCTGAAGTGTGCATGCTCAGGTTTAATTTGGAGGCATAAAGTATATTTCTGCATCAATGTGGACAGTCTCTTTTACACTAAAGCTGTCAACCTTACCTAATTTCTTATTCCAGTGATTCTGCTCTTGCCAACTGTTTCCAGAAATAAATGGTACTTACATTTAGTGAGGGACAGAGTGGATTTAAGTGTATTGAAAATACAGAGCAATTTAAGGTAGCAGTAGATGACTCAGTCTTCCAAATTTGCATCAGTATTTGCAGTGATAGCCAATAGGTGGTTGTGGCAAAAGACTTTGTAACACCTTGTGAAGACAGTAAGAAAAAACATGACCATGTGGAATAGAGAACTAACAACCTTAGAATTTCAAATAACATTGGGTAGAAATGAAATATACCCAGTTTCTCTTTGCTGGATTCCTGAGGACTACGAGCCCCTGTTTTACTGTGACTCTCCCAGGTAAAGGATAGAGAGGGTCTGTAAACAGTGGTCACTCTTCTAACTTGATTTTTCAAAGGACGATTCTAAAGGGAAGAACATTAGAAAGCTACAGCCCACAGGACAGCAGGCTGTGATTAGCAGTTTAATGATGATTCTACCGACAGTGATCTCTAGGTCTGTCATCTTTTCTCTAACTTTGTAATTTTTTAACTTGTCTTCCCCTGCGCACCCTCCCCCCCGCAAACTGTATGTTTTATTGTTGTTTGGAAGTAGCACTACCGTCCTACTGGTCTTAATCAGATGGTCTTCCTCAGAAACACGTAGCAGCTTCTCTGTACGGAGTACAGTGCTTCTTTACCTGTTGACAGCAGGTGACCTGGACTTCTCTGACTTCCCAAACATTGAAACCAAAATAAAACATAAGGAGAATGGAAATGAGACAGAATTTTTTCATTCTAAGTCTTACTTTTTCTGGGCTGATTTTTTTTTTAAGAATATAGGTCCTTATTTATTTGAATAGGAATACTAAATTTTTAAATTACTTTAGATTAAAAAAAGATTGGTCACAAAATCACTTTATAGTTCTTTCCAGTGTTTGTGTAGTATAGAAAATCCATTTTGTGTGACAGACTGCTCTCATATTTGCAGAAATTAGGGAGTACCGAGGGAAAACTTGTTCTCTAGATGCATCTGTCAGCCCCTGATTTTCTCTGCAGTTAGTTTTTTGAGAAGATGGCATGTGGCAAAATTTCAGCCACTGAACTTGGTATTTTGAAGCCCCTCTCTTTCCCTAGATCTTTTGGACATAACACTCCAGTTCATAATCCTCTGTTCTTCCTTCTAGTCGAAAAGGTGCGCTGCCTTCCACAAGTACAGCTGAATCCTCTGCCCAAGACGCTGACCCTGGCCTTCGCTTCTCAGATGGAGAAGACGTCTCTCAGTCTCACAGCAGACATCCCTGAGGCGGACCTCTCCGGAGTGGACCCCAAGCTTGTGTCCAATCTGTTGCCCTTCCAGAGAGCTGGAGTCAAGTAGGTTCCTGATCTTCCTCTTGCGCTCTCACTCAAATTTCACCCCTTACCACCAACCAGGTTCAGATGCCCCTCCTCATTCTCTGAAGAGGTGGGGGTTGGTGTTGAGGAAAGGGGGCTATGAATTCCATTGGGTTTTTGTTTTGGTTTGTGTGTAAGAACTTAGTCGAAAACTCCCTTAAACTTATGGAGCAAAATCTCTTAGATACATATCAGCTTCCTCTAATGACTGATCTCTCTCAAGAGACTAATGAGTTGAGGTTCAGAAAGACAGCCTCCTGCCTAATGTCACTGGGCTCGCACAAGTGAAACTGGGGCTTAAATCCTGTTTTCTGGTGAGGAGTACAGTGCTTTTGTTATGCAAATGCCGTGTAGAGGAGGTGTGGGCTCTGTGATTGTTTTCATTTACCCAGGTGTTTGCTTTGCTTTGTTTTCATTTTGGCCACTTGGTTCCTTAGCTGGGCTACCTACAAGGCAGTGAAAAAGGAGACTGTGAAATTCAGGGGCCCATTCTGCTTTGAGAATGACCAAATGGACTGAACCGTGTGGACATTGTAAATGGTTGCGCTGAGGAGGCCACAGCACAAGGCGCTGTGGGTTTGCTGCTTCCATGCTCCCTGACTGCCTGGCCGCCAGTTTTGTAAATTGAAGTGAGATATGGAATACATCTTTTCACACTTGTCCTCCCTCCATCTGTCTGGGTCATGGGTTGATCCCGGAATGGTTTAGGTTTAACCAAGGTAGGTGTGCCAAGAGGAGGCTGGGCCTGTTCAGAGAGGTGAGGTGGCAGGCACGCCACTGGGCTCCCTGCTTTTCCATTAAAGGAATGTGGTGGCCACAGGCTGGGGGATGCCGGCAGGGATGCTCCCTCTCGCTGGGCTATTGTGACTGCTGAGAGGGCAAGGAAGTGTCATGATGTGACACCCATTGTCTCCATGAGGTGCTGGCCTCCTGCCACCCACAGATCTGCATGTTGTTTTCCACCTTCCTTGAACAATGGCCTTTGAAGAGTAGAAATACTATTTCCAGGGAATTTCAGAAAGGCCATGTGCAGCCTAGAATTTTTTTTTTTTTTTTTAAATATATCTTTATTGATTTCAGAGAGAGGAAAGGAGAGGGAGAGAGATAGAAACATCAATGATGAGAGAGTCATTGATCAGCTGCAGCCCGCAACCCGGGCATGTGCCCTGACTGGGAATCGAACCCTGATTGCCTGGATCCTAGGTCAATGCTCAGCCGCTGAGCCATGCCCGGCCGGGCGCAGCCTAAAATTCTTGTCAACCATACCAGCTGCTAATTAGAAGAGGTTACACTTTCTGTCTTTACTGTGTGAGGAAATAAAAAGAGCCAGGCATCTGGCTTATTATCAGGTTTCTGAGCAAATGATCAGTTTTTCAGGAATCAGGTGAAGAGGGACTGGTGTCTGGAGCAGACCAGAATCTGGCACTCGGGATCCCTTCAGCTTTTCGCTGCGTCATCGGTGACCCGAGCAAGCCATCACTGCTTGGTCTTGATTATTTTTCTCCTTTTTGTCAAATAAGAACTATAAAGGAACATTCCCCTGGTCCTTACGATGCTGTCAAGCACTGTTTTAAGTGCTTTACTTTACTAACTTTATTAACCCTTGAAACAGTCTCTGGGTAGATCCTGTTGTTATTCCCACCTGTGGCTGGGGCACAAGGAGGCTAGATAACTTGCCTTTAAGTGGTAGCATGGGGATTCCAACCCAGGCCAGCTGTTCCCCAAACTGGCAGCAAGAACTGTTGCACTGGAAGGGTTTGGGACCCTGGAGACTGCTGGCTAGTGAGAGCCTCGCTGAGGTTGCTGCTCCCTCTTAGACATCTGCTCCACCCTTTCCTCTGGCTGTCCCCCTCCTCCTCTGCAGCATTTCCTGTCTTTGCTGGCTCCTTCCCTCTGCCCTATGCTCACAACGTCCTCTGGTCTTCATCTCTAATTTCTCTCCTCCCCTTCTAGGCAGATCTCTCATGTGAACTAGACTGCCCCTGCGAGCCCCCACTAGAGACTATTTCCCATTGTCCTTTCACACCCCCGGACCTCGCTTGCATTGGGCTGAGGTGACTCTTACTGCAAACGTCCTCCCTTGGTTTCTAGGTCCTGATTGTCTTATAGAGCTGCTTCCTCCCCTTTAACCACCATTTCACATTTTCCCGATTTTGACTCCTTTTTAAATTTTATTATTCTGCCCCCAGTCGGCTCCTGCTTTTCCCTCTTGGGGATCAGGTGTCTTCTCATGAGCAGGGCCCATGCTGGCTGGTGCAGCAGCCCTCCCTGCGCCATGTGTATCACTTTACCTGGTGGCCCGTAAACTCATGCCCCTGGGAAATGTGTTGTGTCACTGTCCTTACCTTGCCTGCTTTCAGTTTTGCCATTGCCAAAGGAGGCCGCCTGCTGCTTGCTGACGACATGGGCCTGGGGAAGACCATCCAGGCCATCTGCATCGCGGCCTTCTACCGGAAGGAGTGGCCGCTCCTGGTCGTGGTCCCGTCATCTGTGCGCTTCACCTGGGAGCAGGTCTGTGCTCTCTGGGTTGTGTTTTTAACAAAGAAGGTTCTCCTCAGGGTTAGAGGAATCAAGTATCAGCTTGGGGACAGGGCCTGGGATCCTTAAAGGTCCTGTTTCAGCTGAAGGCAGGAATGGAGAGGAATGGTCTCCTGAGCTGGGCTTGTGGTCTCCAAGGTAGAATTCTGTTACACCTCAGGGGGGAAACCCAGGGAATCAGAGAGCTCAGACTTGCTTCATTCTGTCGGTAGACACTTCCTGAGTACCTCTTGCACCCTTGTTAGTAGCACCTTTCATCTCTACCACACCTAGTTTTCGAAATATTCCTCCTTTAGTTCCCCTAATCCCATAGCCATGTGCAATAGACACAATAGACGTTAACCCATTTACAGATGAGAAAACTGAATCTCGGAGAGGGTCAGCTCCATACTTCCTGCTAATGCAGAGCAGTACAGGGCCTTGAGGTCGCGTCTCCTGACTTCTTGGCTCAGGGCTTACTCTCTCTGGAAGGTGGTGAGGACAGAATGTTCACTGTCTACCAGATACCTTTATGGCTAAAGAATCTGACACAAACTCAGCCTTATTTTCCTTTGTCTGCCATAAATCCAGGGATCAGAGTGGTTCTGTGAAAAATCCGTATAAGCAAACTTGATGAAGAAGGAAGCCCCATGGTTTATGTTACTGCTGGCAGCAGGTGACCTCACTCCTTCATGTCTTCCTAAGCCCCCCACGAGCTGCTTGTAGGGAAGAGGCAGCTCTACCTGCAGCCGCTCAGCCTGGTGCCCAGACGTGCTCTCCCAGCTGGAGAGAAAACAAAACTTTAAAACTGTGCGTTGAAACAGTACCACATTCTTTTCTCGTCCTGTAATCTGAATTCTGCCAATACTTCTAGAAACTAATAATTCAACAAGATTTGTTTTGTGTGTTACATTCCCATAGCATCCTCAGAAACTCTAGGGAAGTGCCAGATGGTCAGATCAGGCTGGAGAAGGAACCAGCACTCCCTGTATCAGCACCGCGTCAGCCTGGGCCCGCGGGAGAGCACCCAGACACTGACATGGAGGCCGGTGGCTGTCTGCTGACCCTAGACACTGACTTTGGCTAGAGATGGCAGCATTTCTGGAGAGAGCAGGTGCTCTGTAGAAAATATCATCATTAGTGCCTTCAGTGTACCAAGCTGTGCTCAAAATTCCTCCTAAAAGAGTCATATTCTTTCTCTGCGGTAACTCGCCATCTAGTTGGTGGTCACAAAAATGAAGTCCACAGGCACCACAGAGTAGCTGCTGTGACTGCACTTGCTGGCAAGGAAAGAAGTGCTCTGCTAGTGGGAAGTGGAGGGAGAGGATGGGCTAAGAGGAAGATGGAGATGGTTGCTGTTTGTGGGGACAGGGTTACGGCCAGTGTGGGAGGACATGGAGGAACAGAGGCCAAGTTGATTTTTCAGGGAACATTGACATTGGTCCACACTGACAGAGTGCAGTTAATGGGTCGGCTCAGGTCACAGCTTGTAGCTGCCGGGCCGGGTCATCATTTTGGGTTTGTTCTCTCCTGTCATCCGCAGGCCTTCCTTCAATGGCTGCCGTCTCTGAACCCAGAGCACATCAAGGTTGTGGTGACCGGCAAGGACCGCCTGACAGCTGGCTTGGTCAACATTGTCAGTTTTGACCTTCTGAGCAAGTTGGAAAAACAGATAAAAACTCCTTTTAAAGTTGTCATCATTGTAAGTGACTTTGTGGATTCTTTAAGTACTTTATCTCGGTGGGAACTTTCTTCTTAAAAGCCCCACAAACTTTCACATCTGTTCTCTCATGGAGCCCCACTCGGGCTCAGAGAACAGAAATCGTCTTCATTACATCTTCACTTCTCTCAGTTGGTGGTTCTGAGCCCTGGCTACATGTTAGAATTTCTGGGAGACCTTTTTGAAAAATGCGATTTAGTAGGTCTGTGCTGGGGGTTTCTAGCCCATCTCTCCCTGACGTGAGGTCATATGTGGAGGCCCAAGTGTGGTCTCAGGATGCCCAGGGCTCCAGGAACTGCAGCCCTGTGCCTTCATCTGGTGCCCTCTCATTAGAAGGGCTCAGACATGATGTTCAAACAGTAATAAGTTTTCTTCCAGCCGATGGAAAGACACTCTGTCCCCTCCCAGAAAAGCACTCTTTACTCCAGTCATTTTTTTAAAAGATGGCCTTTACTCAAGTCCTGCTCCCAGAGGTGATGACACACCTTTCAGGGACTGGCTTTCCTTCTTTCAGTCTAGAGAGACTTGGTGCCAGCCCCTCTGTCAGCACTCACTGTGTGCCATGGCTCACAAATGAAAGTTCTGGAAAGTGTGCAGCTTCTTCCAATCCGCCCCATTCGTCCAGTTCCCACCCTCAGTTCAGGGAACCACTAACAGACGTTTAGGGCGAAGTCTGTGGTGGATGATTTCCAATGGAAGTGTGCCTGTGGTTTTCCTTTTGGCAAAACAGTGAAACCCAATGCCTCCAGATGATATGAAAGGTTCTTCTTTATTCAAATGTGTGAATTTTAAAAGCCAGTGTTGTTTTCCTTCCCTTAAAATAGAACTCTCTACTGACTGTGCCTTCTCAAATCTTGATACTCAAGGTTTGAGTGCATATCTTATCTAGAAGGAGAGAAAGGAAAGAGCCTTTAGGAGGCCCATAGAAGTGGAGTCTGAGTCGCACAGGTCAACAGGATTGCAATAGAGACTTAGTGCTTTGAGTTTCCCAGTGTGGGGCTGACTGTTGGGGGGAGAGGTGCATTCATCCGTGTGTTCACCTGACTGACAGTTGAGTACCAGCTCTGAGCCCTGCACAGTGCTCTGCAATAGGGAGGGAGGGAGGATAGCCAGCCCCCATCCTCCATGGAACCACAGTCCAGTAGGACAGACGTACACACACAGGTCACTAGCATACACTTTAGTGATTTCATAGACTTGTGAAACAAGTACTGGGGCAGCTCAGAGAAGGCTCTGTTATGATTTGGACACGAGAATAATGCTACGTTCATAGCATAAGCAAACTTAAATGCATATATTTTCTCAAAGCTAAAAAGGTAATGAATCTTTGGGGGAGTCATTTCTGGTTTGGCACAAATTCAGTGTGGCCTTGGAAAAATGTGAGCATGCATGTGAAATGAAAATGTTAAAAGAAGTACCTCAGGCTGATGGTGACGGTTCTGCTATGTGTAGGAAGAATAGTCCCTTCAGTTCCCATGTATGTTCCTGTATCAGGTACTTGCTATATAATCGCTCATCTTCCAATGGCCCCTAGGCAGAGACTGTCCCTATTTCTCAGCTGATGAAAACTGACAGTGAGAGAGGTTACATAATTGGCCCGTAGGCATGAAGCTGGCAAAGTGGAGTCACTGATCAAAGCTGGATTGCTCTGGCTGCAGAATTCCTGTGTTTCTGTTTCTGACTTAACACTCAATCTGCCATGTGATTTTTAGCAAACCATTTGCCACCATCGATGGTTTGTTCTTCAGTTAATTAAGATTCCTGTCTTCTTCCTAATCCAGAGAAACATTGTAGAAGGGAATAAAGTGACGTTTCTGAGATGTCACACTTCTTAGATGTCACTTTTATATACGAAGGTACAAGCTATTCCTTGTTGTTAGTTATCAGTGGTTGGTTAAAATAGTGGTACGTTGTTACCCGTTGGTTAGAAGGGCCCATTCCCTTCCATATTCTTTGGACTTTGTGCTGTTTTCTCTATAAACCTCCTTTTCTTGGCTCTCATGTGGGCTTATCATCGGACAGGAGTACGAATGTTACACCCCGGGTTTCTGGGAATAGATACAGTGACATTTGGGGATTCATCTCACATTCCTCTATATTGTGCTTTTTGAGGTCCCTTTTTTGGTTCATCTTAGCTGAAATAAAACCAGGGTGGTGGGTCTTATAGGTCATCTTTAGTGATAGAGCCAGGATCTTCCTGGTATCCCTGTCCTAGGGCGACTGATACCATTGAGTGCTTATCAAATGGCAGGACTGTTCTAAGGGCTTTATGTGTGTTAGCCCATTTAAGACTTATGACAACCCAGTACATTGGGTCCTGGCATTATACCTATTTTACAGGTGGAGAAACTGGTACTGTAGAGGTTAAGTAGTTGCTCAGAGTCACACAGCAAGTAATTCAAATGTGACCAAAATAGAAAAATTTTCCCCAAATACTAAGAACATATTAGTTCCTCATTGAGTTTTAGAAAACGTGACATTTTCTAATTTGCTTATGCACAGAATGCAGAGCTATAAATAATCAAGCTCCATGTTTTAAGCATGGCAGTTGGTCCCATGAAGACAGGAATCCTGTCTTCTTCCCCTCTCCAAGGTCCCACAGTACTTTGTCACACCTGCCTCAGTGACAGCACTCATAGCATCGTCTGATCAATTGTCAGTGTGGCTGACGTCCTTCCTGCACTGCAAGCCCCTGGGGGTGAGGGCTGAGCCCCAGCTGCAGTACACACACATTGGGTCTGCAGGGCACACAGGTCTGCAGGGCACAAAGTGGGTATTCTGCACACTTTGCTTTAGTGCTGGGCAGATGTCAGGTGTGTGTTACAAAGGAGAAGCCGCCTTTCAGCAATTTGTTCAGTGTAGCCTGTGGGTGGGCAGGGCAGGGAAGTTGCTAACCCCGCTCTGTAGATAGAAAACTGTCCCAAAGAGAGGAAGTGACTTGCCTGGCATATAGTGGAGAAACTCACCAGAGCCTGGGTCCTTTCCCAGGCCCACAGCTGAGGGATGATCCTCAATGTAACACCTGCCAGAGTAAAATTTACCATGGGCTCTGTTTCCTTCCACACGGGATGTGATCTTGTTCACCTTTGTGACTGTTTCTTTTCAGGATGAGTCTCACTTCCTCAAAAACATTAAGACTGCCCGCTGTCGCGCAGCTATGCCCCTCCTCAAGGTGAGTCCTGCAGAGAGTGGACTTGGAGCCGAAGGCCGCTTGGCATTGAGATCCTGCTGTAGTTTGCTCCGGCTGTTAAGGGGTCCAAGGAGAGAAGGGACTGCAGGTTGGGACCGTGGGCCATGAATGTGACTTTGTGTCCATTGAGGGCATCTCTGCTCAGGGCTGTGGTGCTTGATTCCATTTCCTTCTGGCCATCCTGCTAAGGAACTCGTGGTCAGTGCAGGCGTCCCTGCCTCTCAGAGATGAAGTCCTGTTGATGGTCACAGGCCAGGCTGGGACTGTACTCCAGATCTTGCTGGGCTCCTCCTGGACAAGGTGGAGGGAACAACTCCAGCAGCGTATCCCTGACAGCTCAGTGGAAACTGCCTGCCTTCTGAGTCACTGTGGGGCAGAGCTCTCACAGTGCTCTGGAACGGAGGGAGATGAGTTATACAGACTTAGAACTAGGCCAGTGGGTATCAGCAAGAAGCGCTGGCAAAGCTGGGGCATGCCCTGTAAGCCAATGCCCCTTCCTCAGCTACCCTCAGCTGTTTTGTTTACAGGAGGTCAGCTGGTGACATCCCTTTCTGGGGTGGTCTGAGCTTGCTCCTGAGCCCTTTGGCTGGTTGAGTCCTGACTGCCGACCCTTGTTTTGGGAGGCTTTAATATGCTTCCTTTTGAAAAATGTTAAATGACCTTGGTACTGTGGTTCCAATATTACAGACATAACTAAAATTAAATCTGTACCCCTGATTGTTTAGACAAACTGCACATGGATAGATTATATCATTAAAGGTAGAATAGAAAAGCTTTTTAGTAACAGTCTTGTTAATGCAGTCACTGCCTGGTCAGGCATGCTGGACCACATGCTGGCGTCTGAAATAGGTGATTCTGAGCCAGACCTTTAAAGCAGCATTTACATCTTTAATATCTGAAGTGTCATATTTAAAACAAATCTGTTAACTGCTAACTAGTATATATTACTCTGCATTTGCTGTAGAACTTGGATGGATTAATAATAGAATAGGAGCCATGGATCCAGCCTGTTGTTTGTGAAGGTGTCTTAAAGCCACTCTCTTCTGTAACGTTGACTACAAATGATGCTGGACTATTGTCAGGATTGGGTGCAAGTGGGGATGAGGCATTTTGTATTATTCTGTTAACCAAACCTTTCATCTCTCTACTGTATTTTCATCTAGATCAGAATTTCTCAACCTTGGCACTAGTGACTTTTTGGGCTGGATCATTCTTTGTTGTGCAGAGCTGTCCTGTGCATTATAGGATGTCTAGCAGCACCTCTGGTCTCTACCACTAAGGGCCAGTTGTACCCCCATATTGTGACAACTAAAATTGTCTCAAAATATTGCCAGATATCCCCTGGCTGGCAAATCACTTTTTCCCATCTCTGTTGAGAACCACTGATACTCTAAGGAAAGGACTCAAAATATTTTTGGAACAAGAAGAGAGTTGGGAAGAAGTAAAATATGCCTTTGAAAAGCCATACAGAAAGGGGTAAATGGAGTCAGCTGTATGGTGATGGGTAGTAACTAGACTTTTGGGGATTGTCACGTTGTAGTGTGTACAGATGCCAGATTATAAAGTTGTACACCTAAAACTTATATAATTTTTAAAAAGTCATGTGAAGACCTAATTTAATACCACCTGATTGCTCCTCTAACTCATGCATCTCTTAGAACTATATTCTGGTAATATATTTCAAAATTTTTAATATTTAAAGTTTTTTCAGCAAATGTGCCTGAAGTGGTAATTAGTTTAGGCTGTGGGATAGCCGGGCCAGATCATGACCAGAAAATGTGGGTTTCGTAAATGACGGCAGCAGCCACTTGCAGAGGAACTGTTGCTTAGGTTGTAAAAAACTTGTCATTGTCCCCTAGGAAGTGTGACAACTCTCTCCATAGCACTATTTGCTTGGACTACTAAGCAAAGTTCTATTTTTATATGTAAATGTGATAGGCAGGACAGAAAGCTATAAAGAACACTTTTATAATCATCTTTAATCCCTCCAACAGTGAAAACCACTGTTAAGAGTTTAGCTGTTTTTCTAACATGTCAGTCATAGGATAGGATCGTCATTTTTTAGTGGCTCTTGGGTGTTCTGTTCCATGGACACTTCATAATTTGTCCCTTAGTGTTGGATATTGTTTTGCTATTATAAATAATCCTGCAGATGAACATCATCCATATATTTGTAGCTTTCTTACTTTAAGACAAATGCCTCTGCTCAATTGCTGGGTCATAATTTTACCTTCTGGTAGATGCCTCTGAAGTCGAGGCATAACTGTCTCCACTCCCACTCAGCCTGAATTATGGGGTCTTTTTCTCTACCGAGCACACTGAAGGTTAGCAGTGTCTTCCCTTTTGAGCAGTAAGGTGTGTTTGGGTTTTCTTTAACTGTGTTTTATTTACAGTGCTTTTTATTGTTGCAACACTATTATGACATTAGTAACAGTATACGATTATTTCTTTAGAGGGAAAAGGCCCCCAGAATCTCTGTTCTTTCCTAATAAATAACTTTTTTTGTGTGTGAGTAGTCATCTTTACCATTTAATCTATTGATTGGCTAGAAGAGATGAGAATAGTGGTCTAAAATGTATGAGCTTTTTCTTTTTCTTTTTTCATTAAAATAGTTTAAGTAGATGATACAGGCAAATAGTACAAAAGGGTATAGAGTGAAAAGTAACTCCTTTTCCCACCCTTGGACCCCCAGTCCCTGCATCTCTCTCCCCAAGGGCAGCCATAGTTACCACATTTTCAAGTTTACCTCTAAAAATTAACCTGTGCCCACGTGAGTCCGCAAGTGTGTTTGCTTTCTCCCTTCTTAGTGTTCTACATCCACTTGTGCACCTGCCTTTCCCCCCTCATTAGTGTATCTTGGGAATCATTCCACCTCATTCCAGATGGCTTGGCCTTATTCTTCCAAATGGAATTGGGTATAAGAATGAGACTGAGCTTTGGGGACCATGACTTCTTTCCTAGTCTGGGGTCTTGGTGAAATCTGTTATATAGCCAATCAGAATACTTATTAAAGCAAGTTACTGGCTCAGCTGGAAAAAGTAGAGGTAACAACAGAAATTGATGAAGAATTCCCAGACTGCTTCTTGTATGAACTTAAAACAACTTCAGCTCTTTTCTCTACAATAGAACATTATCTTGGCTCATATTTTAAAATCTGTATGTCTGATTTTCTTTGGCAAATTGTATATTCCAACTTGTCCTGCTATCTACCTGCAGGGCTGTCCCATCCCGTGACCCACAAGGAAACTAAACCTGGCCTTGAAGGTCGTCTGCCCCCAACTCTGTCTGCTCATGTGAATCACATCATTTATCTCACACTAAATAGAAATTATTTTTACATTGTTCCATTGTGGGTTTCTTGGGTGCTGCTTTCTTTTCTTAGAGAAGTTGACTGCAAAGTGTTCAATTTAGTGTCGATTTATGTAGTTTAATGCATTTATATCTTCCTAGCATAGAAGTTCTCAGAGGTGGAGGGTGACATGTAAATCATAGCAGCTAGGCATGATTAAAAGCATTATGGGTCAGAGCAGTGACAATACGAAAGTGTTGGGGCTGAGCAGGGAGCAGGCTAAATCATCTTATAACAGATGAGACTCTATTCTGATTTCCTTTCAAAGCTGGACTTTTCCCAAAATGCTGCCTCTGCCTCCTAACAACCACAAATGTCTATTATCAATGGTTCCATCACCCCCTCATGTGGGCAGTGTGTGGGAGAACCGAGTCAGTATTAGTCTATTCTGTAAAGATCTGACAGAGGACCCTGGAGTGAATTTCCATCACCTGATCTGAAAGCCGCTGCCCAGGCTCCATCCCCAGGCAACAAAAGCAGTGACCTGGGGAATAGGTTTGGGATGATGGGCTGATTTTCTCTTATTGATAAGACTTTTCATTTTCCCTGTTTCATTAAAATAGTCTTGAACTAAGGCAAGCAATGCTATAGACTTCAAGAAGCTCATTGTTATTTTAATGAGTCTGCATTAAACTGTGCCGGAAATTAGAGGGCCTGGGTAATTGAACTGTGGAAAATTATAGCTGGAGAAACTCATAGCTCTTCTGTCATAATGGAATTCGGTATTGGCGGCTGCTGAGAGGGCAGAAGTGCATCTTGAGAATTGTATATACTGTATATTTATAAGGAATCATTTCTCTTCTCTCCGTTGTGCCTTTATTTATTTATTTTTATGAGGCAAGTGTATCCATTTGAAACCTAATTTCCTCCCCTAGGTGATTTGCTGCATGCTATTGCCTTATACTACTTTACACTACTGTCATTAACTCAAGGTAACAGTGGTTAACAAGCTGTTTCTAGACAGCTGAGCTCCACAGTAGGTTCCCTTCCCAGAGCTGAAATGAATTTTACCTTCGGTAATCTTCGGCGATTACGTGTTTTAATACAGTGGGAAGTGTCTTTTTTTAAAATTCTCACCTTTTCCACCTTAATAAGAGGTGGGATATTTGGGTTTAATCCCCTTGGGTCAGGTTGGTGTTGGGTAGTGAGAAACCTGAAGTTCATCAACCAAATGTTTACTTCCACTCTGCCCATTGCTGAGCTGCTACAGACAGACCTGGGCTGAGTAGGGTAAATGAATCTGGGTCCCGCCTTTAAAGTCCTTAGTAACTGCAAAATGAGCTTCAGTCAGGGACCTCTAGGTTCAGAGCATTGTGCAGCTGAGTTAGTGGGTGACTTTTTCCTTCCTCTAAAGAAAATCAAGTGGTGGCTTATACACTTTGTCCTGCTAGTGGGGTAGGGCTGGTCCTAGGTGTCATTATCTGCTCCTAAGTTCAACCTGGATGTCAGGATCCATGCGGGAAGTTCAGGCCTGTTGCTGTCACCAACCCCCTTCCACCTCCTCTTCCAGTGCTGGATTCTTTGGGTTTACTCCATGGTCCCCAGGATACTAATTAGCTTCCTCTCAATAGTTTTCAACATATGGTGAAAATTTGTTAATTACTTACTCTGTGCCAGGCACTGCGCGACGGAAAGGAAGGTGAACACAGCCTAATCCTTGATGTCAAGAAGCTTGCAGCCTAGTGAGGGAGACAGAAGATGCAGAATTCGGTGTCATGAGCTCAGTGCCAATGTAGAGATGGGCAGTGGGTGCTACAGAGGCTGCTTAGGAGATGACATCCAGCTGCTTATACTGGTCACACCATGAGGCTCTTGGAACATGCATGTTCTTTTTCTCTGGTCATAGTACCTTCTCTTAGAGATCCCAGGTTGTGGGCCACACACAGTTCTAGAGTGGGGCTAGTCGTGAGTGTACCTGGAATCTGGATCCACCTTGGTCCTAAGATGATTAAACTTGAGGAGTGCTAGCAGTCAGAGTACCCAGGCAGTGAAAGGTGTTTTTACTAGTTTCCACGGCATTTTACTATCCTTGGGGCCCCCACCTCACTAGGGCGTTTGGGATATTCCCCATGTGCTCCTCTGTGTTCTCAGTGCCTTTGGCTGTTTGTTTCTAGGTTGCTAAGCGCGTGATCTTATTGTCGGGCACACCAGCCGTGTCGCGACCTGCAGAGCTATATACTCAGATCATTGCTGTCAAGCCAACTTTCTTCCCTCAGTTCCATGCCTTTGGACTTCGCTACTGTGACGCCAAGCAGGTATTTATTCTCTTTCCTCACCAGCCCACCCATCTGCCACCCTGATTTTCACACTCACCTTTCTGTCTCTTCTTTTTGGCCATGGTATGATCAGAAGAGCTCTGACCAGGGAGCTGGACTAAGATTTTAGCTCTGTTTTGCCCCCAGTTCTGACTTCGGAGTGTGCTTGGGATAAGATGAGAACAATCCCTCCTAGTTTTAATGCTGATGGTGATTCTAGGTTAGCGTTTTCCAATGGAGGGACCAGTGGCTAATGTAGGTACATGGAGCTTGGAGAACCAGCAGCTCGTGCAGGAGAGAATGGCTCTGAAGTGAGCTGGAGGGGAGGCCGAGGCCCTAAGGAGAGGGAAGAGAGTAGATGAGGCAGGTGAAGGTCACATGGCATGGAGGAGTATGAAAAATTCTCTGAAAAGGTGAAAAACTTACTCTGTGCAGCAAAGGCAAAGGAAGCCTTTGAGCAGGTGGAGTGGGAGCGTGATCTCTGGCTGCTTTGGTGAGCTCTCAGCCGTGAGCCCTGAGTCACCGTGCACGTTAGTTCGGTGAGCACAGTGCCAGTGCAGCAGGTGCCTCAGGAGCTACAAGCTGTGCAGCCTCCATTCTCCAGAAATGTCAGAGGAAGCCTTGTAAACACAGAGGCCACTGCAATGAAAATCTCGGTTTCTAAAACCTCAGGTGTTTTTAAGTGAAAAAAAAAAACAACAAAAGTGTATTTAATGACATGGGGAATATAAAGTGGAAAAAATAGGATACAGAACTTTCCCTGCCGTCCTCCAGTCCTCCCTCTCCTCTCCCTCTCCCTCTCCCTCTCCCTCTCCCTCTCCCTCCCCTCCCCTCTTCTCTCCTCTTCCTTTTTCTTCCTTCTTTTTAAAAAATATATCTTTATTGATTTCAGAGAGAGGGAGGGAGAGGGAGAGAGAGAGAGAAACATCAATGATGAAGAGTCATTGATTGGCTGCCTCCTGCACACCC